CAGGCCCATAGAGCTGACTAATCGGAGCAGACAAAGCTTTTTGGGACAGAAAAGCCTTCTGTTTTTAGCTGAATACCTGTCCTGAATAGCCAGGGCTCGTTCTGGAGGGAGCTGCCAAATTTTCAGATCGAATGAGCAGGAAACCTCCCCATTGGATCATTTTGTTATGTGGGTTGACATTATGTAATGTCAACTGGATTTTTTTGCTGTCTAAGTCGAACTAGTCTGTGCTAGACATGACATTTCTATGTCTCGTCTCTGTAGATGAGCAACTGTGAAGCTTTTTCGGGGAGGCATGATTCTTACACACAGGATGAGCTTCAGATCCTTTAGGCAGACCCTTTTTGTTACAGTTTGTTGCAGACACTCTTAAGTCTTTGTATTTCAAAATGAGCAGATACATTAAGTTGTGTGAATGTGTTTGAGTCTGCTAATACAGCACATTCAACAGTTTGCTATCAGTGGTCAGAGGGCTGCTTCCATTCATTTTTTTTTCTTCCACACAAGAAAACAGTAAATTACTAGAGAAATTTGGGACAGCATTACGTTATACCCTACGGAGTGTTGTGGAACACTATTGGTGATAAACATGACTCTGTAAGAAAAATAGCTAAGTGTATTATGCTAAGCTGACTGCATGAGTCCCTGTTGGACTCATCACCTGCTGCCGTTCAGATCATCCCGTCTCTTTCTGTCTGTAGGCTGGTGCTCCTGCGTAAAATAAAGAAAAAAACTATGTTTTCTATCCTGCTCAGAGCACAATATCAGAGCCGATCGGCGCTGGAGCTGATAAATACCCACGAATACTGAAAGACATTTGACATGGGAATGCAAGACTCACTGTTTTAAATCCCCAGCGCTAACAACAGCCAGATGGGTGGGTTGTCTTGTTTTTTTTTATTATTTTTTTTTATGTCCAGTTTGACGGAGGGTACATAGAGCATTTTACAGTTTCAATTTATATCAACGTCAAAGCAAAAAAAATGTGTTTAACTGTCTTGTGAGATTTTTCAATTAAAAATATTTCAAACAAAATGCTTAACTACAATTGACAAAAATTACTTTGAGATTTATTTTAAATATGTTGATTTGTTGCAGGAAAAAGGGGAGCAAATATGGATGTGTTCAATTCTAAATATCTTTTAGACATGAGCTTATCGTAGATCTGATGTTGCTCTGGAGTTTGGGCCTTGACTGAGTGAGCTGCAGTGATATTTACCTTGTTGGCTGTGAAAAGACTGGTTGCACCCATCCTTTTTCATTCAATGCAAAGTGCACTTAAACTGCGCGCAATGAAATGATCAATCTGACGTCTCAGTGCTGAGCACTCTGCAGGAAAACCTCAACACAGAATTCAGTATCTGTGTTTTAGATTTTAAAGTTAATTATCAGAGGTTGGACCAAGTCATTGTTTTGCAAGTCATAAGTGAATCTCAATCATTTTCCTCAAGTCCCGAGTCAGGACCAAGAACCTAAGTCTGGTGCTTCCACTGCTGGGTAAAGGGAGGTAAACCCTGACCCTGGACGACTTCCACCCTGCTGATGTGTCCTTGAGCAAGACATAAACTCCCCAACTGCTCTGCCAGTGGTGCTCTGCAGAAGAGCCTGACCTCTGGCCTCATTCAGGAGGGTTGCAGACAAAAAAAGAGATTCTCCCTGTGGGGATTAATAAAGTATCACATTATCATTTGAATGCAGCCGATTGTATCTTCGTCTGTCAACATTTCAGCCGGCAAACCGTTCTGCGGCAACGCCCAAAATGACTTGCTTTCTTGCATTTGTTGGGAAAAAGTCTACACCCCAAATGTCAAATAATAAAGAAACAATCAGATGTTTTGCGTCTCCCCCCTCATTCCATTTAATCCATAAATTTAGGCTGTTTTAAAGCAGGTCCACTTTTTTCTATTTCTCAGGGTGCCCGTACCAGCAGGCCATCACCAGACTCTACCATGATGCAATGTTCAGATAATTATCAGGCACGAAATGCGAATTGTCACAACTGTAAAGATAAAATACAAACAGCAAACACATGTGTACTTTTGAGGTTTCCAGAACAACACAGTGACAAGTCTTTTACGCTGCCGTGTGCGCTCATTGCAGTGCTGTTGCACAAGACCAAAGGCCAGCTAAAGCAAACTTAAGAAACAGCAAACACTGGCATTGCGTGTGTGTGTGTGTGTCTGTGTGTGTGTGTGTCTTCAGTCCCTGTGGTCAACAATCCCTCTTGCTGGCCTTTATCCCCAAATCCCCATGGACAGAGAGTCAGGAGGGAGAGAATGCTTAAATGCTTTGGATGATGGTGTGGAATGCTAAAAGGAGGAGTGTGCATGTGTGTGTGTGCTTTGCAGAAGGGGGGCAAGAAACGGAGGAGGGGAGGGAAAGGGAGGGGGTGTTCTGCCTGCTCTAGGGATCTGGTATGCGTGACTGAACAAGAGGAGAAAAAGGGAAAGAAATTGAGAAAAAAAACACCAAAATATCTGCCTTCCTAACTTCTTAAAACTGACAGCAGTTACTGACCGGCCTGGCAATTTTTCAGAGAGCTGTGTTTGTGTGTGTGTGTGTGTGTGCGTGGTGTATCACTTCACACACAGGACACGTCCTGATGGAAAGCAGAAAGGGGAAATGCACCCTAACTAACTGAGAGATCTCATTACTCTGCATATGTGAAGTAAAGCACAACAAGAAATGCTCCATTTAAACCCCTCTGAGATCAGCAGGGTCAACCTGAGCCACCTTCCAATTTAAAACCCCGAAGACTTCACTGTGAAGCCCAACATGCTCCCTCTGTTTGAGCTGAGCACCGTTCGGTTCTGTGTGAGGAAGGAGAGGAGACGTTGACAATTAAAATAATCAGCAGGGTAGAACAGTTTGCTATAATAAAAGCCATGGCGATAATTAATTACACAGGCACTGCAGCCAAATCAAGACAGCAAGCATCCATTTTGAGTCTCCTCATAAATAATAAAACAACAAAAGGGATTTTTTTTCAGCCCTTCTGAGAAGCAAGACTGAACTGATCAGGGACAATAGCCACAAATGTGTGGGTGGCTATTAGGGATAATGCATTGAAATAACAGACTATACTGTAATAAGTAAGTTTGAATATGAAACAGATCATTGTGGGACAGTTCTGTCTGATAGAACCTGCTCTTTCTTACAATCCTGTTTCAAGGAAAAAAGACTGCATAGTGAGAACACCTACACACAAGTAATCCACACCGCTGTTTCGTTCATTATATAAATATCTTTAATTGTTTCGACCGTAAGAATATAAAACAATTTAATTTGGGATTCTGCATTTTTTCTTTACAAACACATAATATACAGTACATCTTATTGTCAAACACACACAGCTTTTTCAGCAGGACGCACATCCGTATATTCATTTTCTAGCAGGTCATTGCATTACATTAAAATGCGCACACACTGGCGTCAGTGTGCACGTGTGCATGTGTGTACAGCCTACATTTGTGTGTGTGTGTGTGAAAGGACAGAGATGAGGAGAGAGCGAAAAAGAGACGCATTCCGCTTGTTGTAACCCGAGACGGAGGAGAGAAAGACAAATAATCGATTGCTCCTTATTCTAAGCATGTCTCAAAATGGATTCGGGGGTGTTTTTATTCAGGAAAAAAGGGGGTGAAGGATGGGGAGGAAAAAGATACCCCTGCTCTCCTCACTCTGCACCGGTGAGAAGAACATGAAAATGAATGTGTCACTATTAACGTGGGAAAATAAAACCATGAGACAAACCCTGATTCGCTTCAATCAATAAAGGGTAAGACATAGAAATCACTTCAATTTGAAGTACTCTGAACAACGTTCACTGACATTTATCTCCATTAGCATCCCTTACAAAAATACCTACAGCCTGATAATCCTATAAGGACGTACATGTTAAATAACAGAGTTTTCATACCTTTTTAAGTGTGCTACAACATTCCTCTATATCTCTGTCTTTATAGAATTCCTATAGGTATTTCTGCCAGGGCTAAGCTTGTAAGCTTGTCTCCTTTTAATTGGTCAAGAGAGCATTTAAAGTTGGTCTTCATTTCTTTAAGAATGAAGGAAACTATGAAAAAAAGGGGCGCTTGCATGCTGGCGGGTCTTGTGAATTTTGCATAAAGCGATGGCCTCTTTCGCGGCTCTCTCTTGGAAATTGTTGCTGTTTACGGGGGTAAATTAACAAAGGTAGTTAGATTGTGCACTGGTCTCCTTTCTCCTACTCTGCTCATGGAAGAGGGAGGGAGGGAGGCTATGGAGGGTTGGGGGAGGGGGCAGACACAGTCCCTTTAGGCACATTTTCTCCCAGTCTCTCGTTCTCTGCTTTCCTTTTTCTCTTTTTTTTAACAGTATACACCCTTTGAAAATAACCACATACGAGGTAGCCAAATGTTTCTAGGCGTGATGGCTGTAGCGGATTGGTCGTCAGATCTAGACTCATTGCAAAAATAAAGGCTCACACATAAGTTTTACAACCTCTCTTTGCTTTCAATAAAAAAGGGAGTTTGGATGGATGAAAGTTTGACTTCCAGAATTTTCTGGAAGTGTTAGGTGTGAAATATATCATTAACCCCTGATTAAAAACAAAAAAAACAAGAGAAAACAAACACTCTAAAGTTATTCCAGTCCAGAGCCACATGACAGGAAATATTAAAACCCAAAACAAGATCAACACATTTGTTAACAGGAGTTTTTTAAGAGCTCGTAGCAAAAGTAAGTTTTCAGTCATGTCTACCAGGCCGAATATTAAGTTATGCCTAACGCTAATTTAATCCTTCAAGGCCAACTGAAAGGAAATTAAAACGTCTCAACGGGGACAAGCTCACCTTTCACAGGAGGGAGCAGGGAGGATTTCTCTCTTTTTAAATAAGAAAAGAGCTCCGCACCCATTCACCCCCGCTCCTCCTGCTCCTCATGTTCCCTCTCCATCCAAAAAAGAAAATGAACACTCTCCCTCACACACACACACACACACACCCACCCAAAACAAACACTTCCAATCACCTCACTTTCTCACTCTCTGTCATCTGCCAGAGTCCCAGGTTCAACACTTTAAGGCAGGGGAGCTGCGTGATCCTCTCCAGTCCCCTTTTGGTGATCTTGGTACATCCATACAGGTCGATGCCCACCAGCTGGGTGAGGTGGTCCGCTATGAGCTCCAGCCCTTTGTCCGTGATGCGCACGCACTGTCCAATGTTCAGGGTCCTCAGCTCGTGCATCTGCCTCACCATGCGGTTTATCCCATCGTCAGAGATGTGGCAGGAGCACAGGGACAGGGACTTGAGCTGGTACAGCCCCTGGGCGATGTACGCCAGAGTCTGGTCTCCAATCTTGTCACAGAAAGAGACGTCAAGTCCAGAGAGCCTGAGGGTGCCCATGGCGAGGTGCATGGTGCCCGTGTCGCTGATGTTGTCGCAGGAGCGCAGGTTGAGGCTCCACAGGGAGCCCATGTGGGAGAGGTGGATCATCCCGGCGTCCGAGATCCCCCCACAGAAGCTCAGGTTCAGCACGCGCAGCTTGGCCAGACCCTTGGATATGTGTTTGAGTGACAGGTCCGTCAGCTTCTGACAGTCCTGCAGAGTCAGGTACTCCAGGTTCAGGCAGCCCTCCGCGGCGCTTCGGGTCATGCCGGCCAAATGTCCGATCCCCACATCTGAGACATGCCTGCAGGACCTCAGATTGAGGCTCTTGAGTCTGTGGAGGCCCCACGCGATCAAGAGAAGCCCAGTGTTGGTGATGTTGCTGCAGCCGCCAAGTTCCAGCACCTCCAGGTTCTTCAGATACTGGGCAATCCTGCCCAGGCTGGAGTCGGTGATCTGCTTGCACAGACTGAGGTTCAGGACCCTCAGCGACGGGATCTCCTGGACGAAAGCATGACCCAGCCCGTTATCTGTGAGGTTGTAGCAGCCAGACAGATTGAGGGACTCTATGTTAGGCATTCCCTGGATGACATAGCTGAGGCTGCGGCGTAGCGACAGTATCTGGACCCTCCGGATGCCCCTGGCCTGGAGGCTGGGGAACAAGGAGGGATTCGCCCGGCGGAGGTGCAACTTGGCCTCAACCCCCCTCCACACTGACTTGTGGTAGGACGCATCTCTCCAAGCTATGCACACTTGGGCCACCCTGCCTTTGTCCCTCACGTCCAGATAACTGAAAATCATGGCCAAAATTTCCGGGAAGAGGCACGAAATGTGCGTCTCCATTGTTTTTCAAAACCCAGGCATATAAGAACCAATACTCCACACCTCCAAGGCTAAAGAAACTGGACCCACTCTGACACCTCCTCCAATTACTCTAAAAGTACCAACTGTCCCGGTTATCCACGGAAGTGAAAAATAAAAGAAATGAGTTTTGCCTTTCTCTTTCTGTTCTCTCACACTGTGCAAAATCGATCCAACTCTCTCCAGTGCCACGTGATCCGGTCTGGTTGCGCAGGATTCAGATGTATTTTAAAAAGAAACCAAAAAAGCATTCATGCCTGCCTCAGCCTCTCTATCCGCCAAAAAGAGGAGGAGAGGGGGCGAAAGGAGGAAGGAGGAGGAAAAAGCGTCAATCCTTCCCCCTCTCTCCCTCTCTCAGACGACGCTTCCTTGTATTATACCCAGAAAAAGCCTTCCTCTGGCGGCCGATCGGGGATCCAGACGGTCGTACATTTCAGGATGACAAAGTAAAAACAAAACCAGCGCTCTTAACGCCGCCTATTTAAAAACGACCCCATGACAGAAAAGCAGAAAGGACAGAGTTAGACTGGCTTTGTGAGCAGAGTGAGAGGCAGAGAGGGGCGTCCTGGGCTCAAAGCCTTTGTCTGCTCTTTTCAAACCGACTTGGCAGGAGCTTCGGCACTCTGGCAGTACGGGAGGGGTGTATGGAAGTGTTAATATTAAGATTATATGTTACAAAATATAAATCATTTCTAAAAAGTGTCGTAAATGTGTTATATTTGAGTTCTGATATCCCCAAATTACAATTAATTTGTGTATTAGTTAATGTGGGGAGCTATTAACTCCTAATTTTGTCATCTCACCCCTACCCCTTCTGTGTCACGTACTTGGTTCGTCCCGCCTCAGCTGGAACGGTGCGAACAGTTTCCCTTGGAAACCAACTTCTTACAATTCAGTTCACTTTGGGCTTTAACCCTTTGAGTGGACCACACAGGAAACGCGGGGAAGCCAAGTCGCCAAGCTGTCTTCAATCCACATACTTGACGTGAACAGGCAGTTTTTTGTACTGTGAAATTGCTCTCGATATTGTTGTGGTGGACATGCTCGTAGCACCTTTTCAAAGCGGCCCTGAAACAGATATGAGTGCCCTTTGTCTACGTCCAAGATGCTCCCTGTCCCCTTCCTTCACTTCATCCCAAAGCCAGAACTTGCACCAACTCTTCTAGAGACTACCAATCATTATTTAATACAATACTGACAAATGACTGAGGCTTTAAATCTTGCATAAAACATGAACATATTTTACTGGATAACAAACATGTCTTCTGAAATCAGTTTTAATTCATTCTAACTTGCTTTATTGCTGTGGTATTTGGCACACTGTTGCAAAGGCTTGAAGACCAGATAACAGTTTGTGTCGGCGCTTGTGTTCTTCGTTCCACACACAGTCATACTCAGTAATAATAGCTTAGATGCCAGACACTATTAAACTGATAAAAAGGGGTTAGACTTTAGAGGGATAGATTCAAATTATACTACAAGCTTGTTTTGGTCTACAATGGAAATGAGAATATATCAGCTCCGTATGTTATGTATCAATGTATCAGACCACAATGAATCTCCCAACAAAGGTTGAAAAGATTATTTTTCTTCTTTTTCCTGCTTATTTTTGCTTTTAATTCCTCCACGTTTGAGTATCTTTAACTTTTGTTCCCCAAAAGCCTCTCTTACCCATATATTTGTCTATGTGCACAGGCAAATGAGTGTGTTAAGTACCACTGCGGATCTTTCTGTGTGCATGTTTGTATGGATGTACATAGAGTGTGTCTGTACAAGTCTTCCTTTGTAAACAATGTATTTTTTATGTTTTTCTTCTTAGTGTGTGCAAGAGAGCTGACATGATAGCAGTGCTTTTGCTGAGTCTTGTAAGTGCGGCAGAGTGGCTTAGAGCAGAGAAAGGGAGCAAAAGAGCCGATGAGAAATATGAGAGGCAACAGTGATCAGGTGAGGATAAAGGAGATTGAGAGGAGCTGCAGAAACAGCCGACTTTACATAGAAAAGGCTTGTTGAGCACATCTGACAGTAGCTCCTCTCTCTTCTGCTTCTCCAGCTCATCCTCCGTTCCTCTTATTACGAAGCCCATGTGTTTGCTAAAAGGCTTTTCATTGTTTTCGTTCAACGTTTTTCCAAAAATGCAGGGCAGTTATAAATACATGCAAACCAGAATAGAATTTAATGTTCTGCAAATCATTTAATAACAACAAAGAAATTACTTCAATAATGTAAGCACTTTGAAGAAGATCTTAATATAGTTAAATTAAGGATGGTGTTCAACAAAAAACTCTTCATCCTATTTTAGCATTTGATATTTCATCACCTGTGTAATATTATATCTATAAAGGTTTTAGATAATCCGTCACTTCCTCATTTTAACCAGTTCTGTATGTTTGGGCATGTAAACAGACCTGGCTTGAAACGGACATGTTTGTCAAGTGGAAATCATTGCATGAGTTCTCCAAACTATAACGAGTGGAGACAATTTGACATCCTTTTCCGTTGATGTAAGTTAAAACATTCATTTAGGTAAAGTGGAATGTGGATCGGTGAATCAAAATTAGAAAATATTTTGGGGAGCCATAGATTGGGATGAAGTTACTAATAATGCTTAATATTGTATAAAATCAACCAGTCAAAACTTTCTGAGACAGAAAGCTTCTTTGGCATTATTTCTGATCACACTCGAGGAAAAGTTATCCCTTTAAATGTAATTCCACTGCAATGTAAAAACACCCAAAAATATATTCTGTTCAAGAATTATCCAAACATCATCAAATACAAGTACAAGCCAAAGGACTTTTAAGTTTAGTAAAAAATTATAATGATGATAACATTTTTAACAAATGTACGGCGTGTTTTGCATCAGCTCTCTAAGTCCATCCACTCTGAAGGATTTGATCACAGCAGTTCGTCGTGGCCTGAATTCGGAGGCTGGAACATTGCCAATTCAATTCTCTTTCCTCTCTTTTTTTTTTTGCTCAGTTAGTGTTTTCAGTTTTTCCAAATACCACCGATTTACTGAGGATATGTTCACTCATTGTATAAAGATTTAGATTTATGCTCATTTTCTTTAAAAAGTTAAATCACTTTAGTGGAGCTCTTGTGTCATTGAGTGTTCCTTACTTGATGCAGCCTGTTTTTCATCTATTTGAGCTATTTTGATGATGGCCTATTAATAGGCTCTTCAATATTGGTTTGGATTAGAAGCGATTTGGGAAGACTTCATATATATGTGTGTGTATAAACATGATATTTATGATAAGATGCTATCTTTTATAAGTCTTCTGCAGTGGAATGTCTGTCTCCTTTATATTTAAACATATATTCTCTACCTTCATCAAGGGCAAAAACAAAGCAGTTAACTGCACTGTCCCCTGTGACTGCCAACACCTACGTCCTTGGTATTCAGGTACAGACTGTGTCATGCATTTTCGAAATAGCAGTCCTGACACGAATACCAAGCTTTAAAATGATACATCAAGCACTTTTATCTTTCAGGAAAATGACGCTAAATGCTCCTCAAACAGAGCTCCAAAGATTTAACTAAGATGCAGAAGAAAATGAACTTTCTCATAAACTACAGTTAAGTTTTCCTGGTCTGAATGTCCTGTCAAAGCAAACTGTACACATAAATTGGCCCTGTGAGCACTTACATTTGCAAATAATTTGTTTTTACCTTAAAACACAAATCATCGCTTGTCTCTGTGGCTCTAAACATAACAGTCACACTAGATTTTATTTTTAAACCCATTTGCAAACTTTTTGATACTGAAAGTGCAGTTGCTGCTTCTGTCTGTTAACTTTTCCATTTCTGCTTCAACCATCCCAAACCAGACAAATGAAAGAAAAAGGTAACACAAATTGAAATAAATAATTAGGGATGAGGAATATGAACAGTGAGGCATGTCTGTTTGTGCCACGGCAGCAGTAGCTAAGTCCCTCTCCATGGCCAGCCTGTATGTGTGCGTGTGTGTGTGCGTGCGTGTGTGTGTGCGCAGTTGCGCAGCATGCAGCTCTTTCTGTTTTTCTGTCTCCCTATGTCTGCCTCATATCACAGCTGTGTGTGACTGCCTGTGTGTGTGTGTGCACTGCTGTGGTGTGTCATACCCCTCTCAGAAAACCCGCTGGGCCCTAGCCAGCACTCACACTGAGTGAGAGAGAGGAGATGGGGAAGGATGGGTGGATTAGGGAGGAGAGAGGAAAAGTGGAGGTAAGAAGAAGAGGAGGAAAAAGAGAACGCAGCAATATTGAACACAGGCTTAAAAAATAGGCTTGTAGGGGAAAGAAGAAGAATGTCACAGCAAAGGTGAGAGCATGATCCCGGGATTTGATAGGTTCACAGGATTTCCCTAAAGTCTTGTGCACGAGCTCCTAAGTTTTCAACTCGTCATGTGACCATACGTGTGGGCAATTGTCTCTTTCTGCGTGTGCTTATGTAACTTTACGTGCCTGAATTTGATGATTCATTGGAGGTTCTCTAACTGGGTAATTGCTCGCCTCAACAGCGTGCTTCATCTGCACCCGCAGCGACTGCTGGTTGCCAAGGTTACGTGGGCATGTGTCAACACGTCCCCCCCGAAGGTCGACACCTTACTGAATGCATATTACCGTGACTTTGTGGATCCCTTTTCCCTCTACTGCAAAAACACAAAACATAAAGTATGCATGCAGACAACAGCATGTAAAAGAGGGAGCAGACAGGAACAGTGACCCCAGTGCCCCCGGTTTGCACCCACGCCCGCCCGCCCTCCGCTCACTGTACACACTGAATCTTTAATGTTCCCTCAGGTGATGCCTCGCTTCTCCAGGGCTTCACCTATACCAAATTGAAACATGGGCTGCGTGTGTTGATGTTTAATATGAGCCTGCCCTCAAAGCTTCTCAGCCGCTGTCATTATTAACTCGTTCACCATATCACGTTTTATGTAATCCTGCTCTGCTGTGGCATAAAAAGCAGCAGCGGCGTGATGCCGGTCCACAGGCAG